CTCCCGCCCCTACCCCCGCCCCCGCGCTCCAGAAACGCACGAGCGTCGCAGACCGCTGGACATCCCAAGCCGTCCTCGGCGTCCGCTCCACCCCCTCCTCTACCTCCACCCCCTCCACCGCACCCACCGCACCCGCGAAAGAGAAAGATGAAGAGAAGAAGAAACCCATGATCGGCGCGCGTGCGCTCCCCGGCCTCGCTCTCCCCGGTATGGGCTCAGCGGCCACAGGACTCAGATCGCCCACTGTCCCGCTCAAATCGCCGACTGTCCCGCCCAAAAGTCCCGCCCTGGCGCTCCGCAGCCCGAGCCTTCCTCAGCCTGTGTCCAAATCCCAATCGCCCGCTGTGCCGCCTAAATCGCCGGCACTATCCAAGCCCGTGTCGCCCGTGCTTGCGTTCCCTAAGGCGCCCTCCCCGACTCCTCCCGCGAAGGCTCCGTCTCCTACGCCGCCAAGTGTACCGGGGAAGGACAGTGTATCGTCCGAAGGCTCGAACGCGAATAACACGCCGCCGTCGAGGCCCGCGCAACCACAAAGGTCGCCAAGCCGGCGGAGGGAGCGGATACCGAGTACGGGGAGCCGGGCACGGGTTATGGAGGTTGCGCAGATGTTGCATGAACGCGAGGCCTCTTTGCAGTCTGCACAATCTGATTCTGCGCCGACCTCGCCCATCCTTACATCCCCTCCACATATTGCGGCGGTGCTGCACTCGCCCGCGGGGACGGAGAGGAGGGAGGTGCTCGTCGCGCCGCCGCTTGAAAGGAGGAGATCGAGCTTCGAGGCGTTTGGGAGTCTGCCGGTGTTGGAGGAGGTGCGGACGCCGGCGGGGACTTTGGCACGCAAGGGTGGGAGTCCGTTGCCGGTGTTGCAGGATGAGGACGTTCCTCCGCCCGCGTCGAAGGAGGAGGTGAAGATGGAGATGGAGAGGGACATGGTGACGATCGAGCACAACGACCGGCCCATACCGACTCTAGACGTCGCAGCGCTCGTCAACGCACACAGCGCGAACACGAAGAGCGCGTTCGATCCTAAGACCATCTTGACGATCTCCGTCGAAGTCCTCTCCGTCACGGGCGCGACGGCCACCGCGCTCCCCACCCCCTCATCCTCCACATTCCACGACACCGAAACGCTCGCGATCGTCCACCGCTACAAGCTCAAGTCCAACGGGCTAGTCAACACGAGAGTCTATGCTTGGTACGGCCGCAAGTCCGCCCCCGGCGAGCTGGAACACGCGAAACTCGCGGGCCTGGCGCGAAGGTACGGCGTGGCGCTCGAGGAGGTGCGGCAGGGCGCTGAGGGGGAAGACGGGGGAGAGATGGTGGGTGTGCTGGGGGGCGTGCTGGCGTGCAGGCAGGGCAGCAGGACGCATTGGAGTGCGGAGAATACGACGATGCATGTCGTCCGCTCTTTGCCCTTCCGCTCCCCGCCTTCTTCTTCAACATCGACATCGACATCGACATCGTCGGCAGAGCTGCCGCTGGCGACCATCGACGAGCTCGATCTGAGCGTCGCGAACCTGTGTTCCGGATTTTCATACGTCCTCACGCTCCTCGGCTCGTCGTATATCTGGCACGGGCGCGGGTCGCTCGCACATGAGCGGGCCGTGGCCAGAATCTATGCGAAGGGGCTGTGTGGGGATGGCGGGAGTGAGGTCGTTGAGCTGTTCGAGGGGCGGGAGGAGGAGGACGGAGGGGAGAGCGCGGAGCTGTTCTGGATGATGCTGGGGGAGAGGGAGTATGCGCGGGCGGAGTATTGGAGGTTTAGAGGCGAGGAGGGGGAGAGGGGGGCGAGGGCGTGGAAAGTCGACGCTGAAGAGGTACGTCCTGCATCCCTCCTACTTAACAAATCCACCTCTAACTCATCTTCCACAGCTCACCCCGCTCCGATCATTCCCTACCGAACCGACAAACGACACAATATACCTCCTCGACTGCACCTACGAGCTCTTCGTCCTCGTCGGCAAACACGCCCGCTCAAAGCGCGCCGATATCCGGCTGGCGCTGGAGGCGGCTGAGAAGCTTTCGCGGTATGTGGAGCGCGAGAGGCCGTTCAGGCCGCCGGTGCATGTGGTCGTGCTGCCGTCGAAGGTTCCTGCGGATTTGAGGTTCCATTTTAGAGGGGTTGATGAGGATGCACTGGTATGCCTTCCCTTCCATTACCGCCACTACGCGTGACGCTGACGATGGATGGGGCAGAACGAGAACGATGTACCGGACCATATGAACCTCCTCCCGGCCCACGAAGCTTTCGAACACGTACGTCTCTCCCCCTCTCTGTCCTCTCTCCTCTAGTCCCTGACGAAAGTGTTACATGCAGCTCGACCGGAAGGTCTGGCATCGGCATGAGCTAAGCGACGAGAAGATGTTGCCGCTGGGGATTCATCCTTCTCATTTGACTTGAGTTCTGACGATACGATTATGGATGAGGATACGGAGGAGGTGGACGGAGGTGGTGGACGGATGCCCGCGCGATACACGATTTCACTTGTATACCAAACACTGACACTTTACCCATGATGCTCAATGCTATGAATCCATCTCATGACGGTGTAGGCGCTCTGATGAGTCTCGCGGTTTTGTTTTTTTCCGCTGTGTTCGTGCCAACGCACCTGGGGGCTCACGAATACGGCTCGGCGCTGCCTCAGGCAGCGTGCTCTGGTTGAATGGACGGCTTGAATAGTCCCAACCAGCTTATGCGGGGCCGCCAAAGTGTACATGCGGGCGATTGGTGTCATTCAATCCAGTCGGATGACGCTCTTGGTTCGGTCACCCGCAGGTATGCAGGCCAACACTGGGCCCGTAGGCATCCGACCCGGGTTGTTCGTCACTTCCTTGCACTTCTCTCTCCAAACGACCACCGCCATGTCGAAGGTGAGCCGAGGCGCAGCTTGTACTGTAGAGGCTGGGTCGTGGACACTGATCATGTCTTCCGTAGCCCACCCTTTACACATTCAACCTCTCCGTCTGGTCGGCGGTTGCGGATATCGCTCGGTACGTGATCTCAAGATCATCGCATTGAACGGGAGTTGATAACGCACGCGTACATCAGCGTCGAGCTCAAGCTCACCGACAAGATCGACGCGAAGGACGTCAATATTCGCGAGGGCGAGGATATCTCGCCTGACTTTATCAAGATCGTGCGTATCTCTACGCCTGTTGCGTGGATCATCCGCGTCCGATTCAAGAGTTTCGTCTAGAGCCGCAATGCAACGCTCCCCGCTCTACACGTGGACGGGAAGACATACGGTACCACCATCGAATGCATCGAGTACATGGTCAAGGTCTCGGGTACCAAGGTCGCTCCCGCTCCGGACTTGACCACCAAGATCCATGATGACAGTCTTGACCCGAACTTCATGCTCCTCGCCGCAAGCAACGACGCCGAGCTCTCTGCAAAAGCCAACGGTCCTCCCCGCACATTCGTCTCCACGCGTCTCGACAAGATGCGGGAGTACGCCGCGTCGACTGAAGGCGCGTCGTTCAAGTCGTTCTACGAGAAGCGCATCCAAGGTCTCGCCGGCGTACTCGCGGTATACGACGGTACAGCCCCCGCCGAGGCCAAGAAGGCCTTCTTCGCCAAATCGCAGGCCAACCACGACGCCGCGCGCGCTTTCATCCTCGAAACGCTGCCGGCGGCTATCAGCTCGGGTCCGTTCGTGGCAGGCGCTGAGCAGGGCGTCGACGACTTCCACGTCGCGGGCTGGTTGGCCCGTGTCGCGACTTGTGCTGGCGCGAAGCATGTTGATGAGGGGTTGGCAAAGATTGGAGAGAGGATCGGGGAGGAGGTTCCGGGGGAGGTGAGGGTGCTGTGGGAGGCTTGGACGGGGAGGGAGGGGTGGAAGAGGACGTACCCGGACGGCGCGTTGCATTAGACTTGGGCTCGGATGCCGCTGGTATGATGCATAATAGATGGATTTGGCGGGACCGCATGAGCTCCATCGCATCGCATCGTCACGTCCGCCGTCGTATCGCTATCATGTACCTGCTTAAGATCCAGCGCGAGAGTACACGTCGGGCGCTGCAGCCCGTGCATACGAGAAGCACCCTGAGCTCGTCAGTTGCATTGAAGGACCATCGATGTCATCTATACATATAATCCTCCCACACGGATTCATGATCAGTCGCAGGACGTACAGGTTTGCCCTGTGCCGAACGGATCCGCGTACCAGTTCGAAGATAAGGCGTCTTCTTCGACTGGTGTAAAGATCAATGCCATAAAGAGATACTTAGGTCCGATGGTGGTTTATTCAGCCTATACTGTATGGGAAAGTTCTTCCTTCGGAAGCTTCGCGGGTCGTCGCAAATGTCGACCAAGAGGACTCATCACTATCCAAGCAACGCAAAAGTTGTGTTATGATGTAATGCAATTCGTATGGTAAAGCTACACATGTAGCCACAATCAAGAAGTCCATGTCCAATCCATGCATTGGAAGCTCATAGCAAGAAGGTATCTCAACAATCCAACAGCAATATCCGCTCCCACACATCTATGCAAGGATGACGAACGCCGACGCGAGCACGCTGAGCGAGCCGACGAGCGACTTGATAGGGAAGCTCGCGAGGGCACCGCTTGACTGGGAAGCGAGACCCTCGCCCTTGGCCGTCTCCGCGACAGTGGACGGCATAGAGCCGCTTGTGAAGTTCGAGCCGCACTGCTGGTTGAAGTAGTCGGTGGCGTCGGAGGGGATAAGACCGGGCTGGTCGGTGTTAATGAGCTGGACGGCGGCCTTGGTGCAGTCGGAGCAGATGAGCGACGGCGGGAGCGCCTTGGTCAGGTTGGTGCTGCCGCTGATGAGGCCCGTGACCATGCTTTCGAGGCCATTCTCGCTCAGGGTGGTGCCCAGGCTTGACTGGACGGTGTTGAGCGCGTCGGTGATGCACAGATTGTGTGATGTCGAGCTGTAAGAAAGATGCCCTGCGTGAGTACACCCTAAGAATAGAGTTGATTGAGGGTGGTGACGCACTTCTGCAAGCACACGAGCGAGCGGACGGTCGGGTAGTATTGCTGCACAGCCTGGATCACGACCTGTGTGTCGTCCGAGCTGTAGCCGAGGGCGCTCAAATCGCTTGAGCAACCGTTGGTGACATTGGTGACAATAGAGTTAAGCGTCGAGTTCGAGCATGCGTCCTGCGAGCACAGACCCTCCAACCTAAATATCAAGGGAACCCATAATGAGTATATGTTGTTCGGAGTGTATAGAGTCGCATGGGAACGCACCATGAGTTGAGTGGTGTGATCAGCGAGGTGTCTCCGTTCACGGTCGCGAAGGAGGTGACGAGGCCGGCTGCGTTTATGCAAGTTGCGTCCGGCGACGCAGCGATGCCTGCAAGCGTAGACTCGCATCCAGACGAGATATTGAGCGATCTATCCAAACCAAATTAGCCTCCGCCCCAGTCGTAGCAATAACTGCCGAAATAAGCACGCACTGCGCGTAAGCCGATGACGCGAGAACCGCGGCGGCAGCCAGAGCATTACGAGTGAACATGGTTCGTAAAAGATAGATAGGTATCAAAAAGTCTCAAGGAAAGCCTGCTTTGTAGGGGTGTAGAAGAAGAGAGGGAGAACTACAAGGGGGAAAGGGTGAATTGTAAGGTGGTGGTTCTTTATAAGGTTGGCCCTTTCTCGCACAGCCTCGGACGGGGACAAGCAAGCGCTCGTGGGCCTCATGTCGACGCGGAGATCAACAGCCGCTCGGCGTCATCCCTGTCCCTTTCCAGCTCGGTCTTTCCCTCCATCTCCACAGAACACATCTTCTGACCTCGCTACCAGCTCGATGGTACCGTGCATACGGTGCTGCCTCTAAATCGATATGCTCTCCACTGGATTGCCAGGCAAGGCGAATGTCTTGCCGGTATCATCCGAATCAGGCAGCCAGCTTGGCGCGCGCATCGCTTTAGCGACGCTTGGGCCTCTGAATGGGCTGCTGACGCCCAATCACTACACCTCTTACTCGATACTCCACGAGACCTGTGAACGGCCCACTAAGATTAATACCTGCTCGGAAATAGCTCCCGCCTGCACAGTCTACTCGTACACTGCGCAGTGACTTCGTGGCGTCTTGGTGTGGCTCGACAAGAATACACAAGCGCAACTCCGTTCGTCTGTCTAAGGACGTTTGACAAGATACATGACGTGGTGGCTTGTAGGCACGGTGACATCGAGCTCAACAATCGGCGACGCCGGGTAAATCGGACCTCGTGCTTCTGGGCCTGCCAGCGTACACGTACTCGTGGTCGTTCCTTGGCCGTCACCTCTCGGCGGGCGATAGCAACCGTCCTGCGAACATTGTGAACTATCTCTCTTCCAGCCGGTCCCATTCGGTCAAGTATATTCATCGAAGCGATCTCTGGCCAGTGCGTCCCAATCGCAACTGCATCGCCTTGGTTGCGTGGGTCTGCGGGACGAACCTCCGACCTTCAAGCAGAAAGCATGTTGTCAGATACGGGCTACAGTCTGTTCGCTCGGACGGCGGGTTGCGCTGCATCGGTTACATCGTTCGTCAACTCGATGATCACGCACAGACGAGACACTGAGACACAGTGGCGCAGATCAGGATCAAGAATAGAGGGTAGTGCAGCATCGTCCGCCATCTGTGCCGGTATTCGCCGCGCAGCAAGACATCGTCGACGGGCGCTACGCTCGAGAATGAGGGACCTACAGCATACTACGACGTAGCATCGCAAGTGATGCCGGTCGAACAATGCGTGACTACAATCCATCAGCGCTACCCAGCCAGCTGAGAATAGTGAGCCTGCCTAGCAAAAGACCCGCCGCCGCAATATATAGGACCTTGAGTATTCCAAAACTATACTCGCCTCAATCAAGGTCGGACGAAGCCGTGATGGGCGAGTTCCTATGTGTGGCAAAAACTGAGTGTGGGTATACTCTACTTGGCAGGTGCGGCTACCTTGTTCTGAAACTACTACCCTGACGAATTGAGGTTTTCACCATATCGATATCGGGTGTTGCCAGTTTACGCAGGCAGCTGCGGCTTCCACTGGGTCTGAGGCCGGCGGCTTGCGCCGTTTCGTCGTAGCGCGAACTTTAGTCCGATCTGGTCGATGCATAGACAGTACTAGTGACAGACATAGCGAAGCGTCGATATTATTGGCTTCCGCGATAGTGTGTTCGAATAACCGTACCAGGTAGTACCCAACACGAAGACCAATTTCCCATGTGAACGGAAATAACCGAGCGTTGCCGCAAAAGTGATCAGCTCGAGCCCGAACTTTCGCCTCGTGATCAGCGGCTTGGGAAATCCCACTCTATCCAGGACCACCATCGTCGTAGCAAAGATTCATCCACCATAGCCCTTTGACCACATATCCTACCAGTCGCTGTGAACCTTGGCAACAGGATGATCCACACCGTACGCCTACCAATCGCGCAAACCCTTCCGCATGATGTCCTATGCGAGCTATATCAACTGCTTGCGGAGTGTGATCCTCCGACGAGAAAGCGTTCAGGGTCATCGCGTACTCGCCCAGCTTCTCCTCGCAGACCGGGTGAACCGACCGGGAAAATGGCACCGTCTTGGAGCGTCGCGGGAATAGAGCGTCATACGCAGGAGGAAACTCACCGTCCGGCTATGGATTCTACGGCGCGATTGATTGGCGACAGTGGCCATCTTGGCTGGATACGACTCATCCATGTCTGCTCAAGTTGGAGGTCCGTTGGCTTGAGCATGGCATCACTGTGGGGATATGTATTCCCCATCTTCCCCGATGACCACATCAGCGAGACGATCCTCGCTCTTTCTCGAGATCAGCCGCTTTCCCTCGACATGGATCTCGCCGCACATATGCAGCCTTTCTTTTACTCTCCTCCAGAGATGGTCAAATTCTTCACATTGGCCGAAAAACATCTCTCTCGGGCTCGCATACTCACGTTTCCTCGTCATCTGAACAGGAACGTACAGTTCTGGGATCCGTCCATCATGCGTGACGTTCACCTGCCCCATCTCAAAATACTGCGACTATATGTTGTGCGGGAAAGCGTGCAGCATGAATTCACCATACAAGCCCCGGCTTTGACCCACCTTGTACTCGGCTACTTCGCGCCTTTCGCGATAGTCCCGTCTCTCACGTATCTGAAGATCACAGACGAAGTCACGCGGTACCGGCCAGTCACCTCTCTTCTTGACATGCTTCGTGCAACACCCCTCCTTGAGGAACTATCGATGCAATGGGTACATCCTTCAAGAGAACTCCCTTCAGACATGACGGTGGCGAGTGTGCGTCTCCCCAAGCTTAGTACCGCGCGGTTCAGTGGGCCGCCCATATCCTTGATGCTCGTTAAACACCTCGAACTCCCGCGGGATGCGGATCTCACGTTTTGGGCCGGGAACGATCCTGTCCTTGGGCAATCGATATGGCCTATCCTCGATGTACTCGACATGTTCTCACGCGAACCTTCGATTAACTACATGAGTCTCCGCCCAGATCTGTGTGTCGATATCTGTCTGGCAACGTCGAGGGAGCCGGGCGATGTGCCAGCTCCACGCATATCTCTTCGTACGGTCTCCACAACTCTCGGAGAGGAACTAGGCGAGAGTCATACGGATCCCAGGGCTACAGCGCGCTTCCTTTCCGAACTCATCTCTCATATGGAACCCGCGAACATCACCACGTTTCATGTCAGCCCATACACGATGAACATGTTCGGATCCTCAGTGTCTGAGGAAGATCTCATAGACTCGCATATCGCTATCCTCCATTGTCTCACGGGCCTGAAGACACTATCCGTAGGATGGCTGCCCACGCGCTATAAGCCCTTCTTTGTCGCATTGGCACGGCCCAAAGCTATCGCTTTGGAGCCCTTCGAGCTCGGCACTCTCATCATCTTCTCTGAAGACTCACTGTCCGGTTACGACTTCCATCCGTACACTCCGGAGTTGCTTGTGCCTGCCGTGGAAGGCGTCCGTCGTCGATGGAACGACATCTCGATAATGCTTGAGAATCGGTGCAATGCGGGCAAGCATCTGAAACACTTGGTGTTGGAAGGTCTGCGCGTCGACGAGGACGAGTTTGGAAGGATCAACGCAGAAGGACTGCGCCGTGTGGCGGCGTTCGTGGACGAGGTAGTCGACAGGAGGCTTTCCACGACGATGAACTCAGCGGAACAGAAATAGTAGACACCGTCATGCATGTATGAATTTGGGCACAGCTGTATATTCTAGTACTGTAGATGATAGATCTCCTGTGAACCAGAGAAATAAGCAACGATAGATACATGCACGAATCCGTGGGCGCCATCGCAAGGTCACATTCCAGCAATTATCGCGGTTGAACTAGTATCTTCGAGAGTACGATTGCAGAGTACATTTCCCTCTACGAGTCCCAATCAGACGGATAATCGTACTCGTCTTGGTCTTGTAACCGAAGGGTCTCATCCCATTCTCTCTTCCTCCTGCGCCTCACACTGAAATACCTCGTCTTATCTCTCCATCCAGATCCTACGCCCGTCCTGCCTTTATGCGCCTCTCCTCCTTCCGCATAAGCCTTCTCCGGATCCTCGGGCAGCCCCATCGCCATGGCTAAAGCCATGAGCTTCGTATGGAGTTCTGCGCGAAGTGCGCGTAGACGATTGAGTTCCGCTGGTGATACGAGGAACAGGCGTGCGAGAGCAACGAACGCGCGTGCGGCTGCTACTGCGTCTTCGAACCACCTGAGACTCATCCACATCACGGCTGGTACTAGCCAGAACGTGATAGGCGCGAGAGGTAGCGTGAGAAGTACAGCGCCGCCCCATACGCATAGACCAGAGATGAGACCATAGACGAGCTTGTATTGTGCGATTTCGTCCCAGGTGTCCCATATCGGTCCGGTCTTCTTGAACTCTTTGACGGCAATGAATGTTGTCACTATGACGGGCGCCCAGAGTAGAAGTCCAGGGAAGGAGAGGATGAAGAGCGTGAGGGCCCAAGTAAAGCGGAGAGCAAGGCGGCACAGGATGACAGGGCGCGCGAGAGGTTGCCGGATACGATCGTCTTTGATGTGTAGGCGGGTGAGGGCGCCGCCGTACGCCTATTTCCAATAGCGGATCAGCCTCGAGCTAAGCAGAGTATGGTATGTGCACACACTTTGAGCTCGCGTAAGAGTAACTTCATCTCCTCCGCCTGCTCCGCGTCCTCGGCATTTCCGTCCTCCGTACCTGTTCCCACGGCACTCTCCCCATCTGTTCCCGTGTCGCCAGCCTTCATCGCCTGCAAGAAGTCCCTTGAGAGCCTCACATAATCGCCCAGAGCCATTCTTGTCCCTAAAGGCGCGTATATGGTCGCTGCGAGCTTCGCTGCGCGCACTAGCGACCAACGCGGCGCGTCAAGTGTTCCAGATGCTATGCGTTGACCCAGAGTTGTGGTCGCACGCCGAACGGCCGAGTAGTCTTTGATGGGCGCCAGAAGGTCAGGATTGTCGCGAGGTGTATAGCTGAGTGGAGGGTGGAAGGAGACAAGGACATCTGAGCGGAAGTGTTGTCGATGCATGTAGGTTATCGAGCAGGGTACGACAGAGACGCTGAAATCCGGCTCTTCTGCGTGCGCTGTCAGAGTATCTGACACAAGTCGTATGACTGTGAAGAGTGTGTGAGGATCGGAAAGAGGTCACAGATGGACGTTGAGAACGTACCGCCAGTCTTGAGAGGTGCGATGGTGGGATGATACCGACTGGCACCTTCCGGGAAGAGCGCAACAGCGTCGCCGCGCCCCAAAGACTAGAGTGTTCTCAGCTTTGGTAGTAGCGTAGGCAGTAAGGTTCGCATAGTTGCACTCACGTCGATGAGATGTGCCATGATCATACTATTATCCACATCCTGGTCGCCAAAATCCTTCCGCCGCTTGATCGGTAAAGTACCAGCGCTCTCAATGAGCCAGCTCGTGAAGGTACGCCGACCAAATTGGGTCGACTTCGCAGTCAATCTCAGCATCCCGCGCTTCTATGCTGGGGTGAGAATGCGACATCACGAAGTAGACGCCAGAGAGCACCTTGTAGGGAATAGATGTGACGAGTAATCTAACGTTCGAAGGGCAAGCAAAATAAGTCTTGACACATATAATACTGTCAAGTTTTACTCACAGTGCGTCAGTGAGCGAGTTTGCATGGTTCGCAGTGATGATGCTACGCGTGTAATTGAGTCCCGGTCTCGAAACAGCAAGGCCTGTGTGCGTACCTGGCGTGCCCCTTGGGTGGTATGTGCTCTGCCCCCTCGACCACTATGGTTCCGTAGAAGACCTTCAAGACAAACCGAAATAACAGTCTTCAGGGTATCCATACACAGGTCAGAGTGCTTGCGAGGCTAGGGCGTTGACGAGGGTTCGAACCGGATAAGGAAGTACGACCATGTGGCAGGCGTAGGGGCCGGCTTTGATGACGGCATAGCCGTTGGGAATAGGCTTCAAGAGGGTGAATCTCAGGTAGATGTAGTTTGTGTAAGACTGTGTAAGATGGTCGTTGGAAGCAAGCTGCGTTCCCCGCATTCTACCAGACGCGCAGCACGGCGGCACACGACGACGCGTGACGTCACCGTGCCACTGAGCCTTTCCCGCTGGTTCGTCGCGTTATTCCGAGTCCCACTTTTTGCGACAACTCCTTACAGTACGGAAAGGGGATCTCTTCACACTGAAAGAAGGCGACGAATGAGCAACGAGCTCGAGTCCCTCCCGGCACCCCAGCCATACGTTTGTATTTGATCACACATACTAGTACTCCTCGGCTTTTCGTGAGACACAAGCCAGAATGTGCGTATACTCAGATAGCAATGAAACGTGTCAGCGATGCATTGTCATGATTATTTCGCCGGTCGTGTCCCCGTCCCTGTGGAGCCCTCGGCATGTGTTTGATCGCCGAGTTTCCTATCCTTCTTCGCGTTCGCTTCGTCACGTTTCTTGCGCTGTGCAGATCTTCTCAGCTAATGGCCACGCCCCAGTGTGTGATACGTACATAGCGATTTCGCATGTAGCATTTGTGACCTGTGTGAGGAGAGAGATGTGAGCGCATGCCAGCGTCCGACCACGCGATCGTGAGGGCTCACACTGATATGTATCATTGCCGCTTGGATGCTTAAGCCACTGCCCTTGAGAAATGCCACATTCTATGCATTTCCTGCCCGGGAAAACCGTCCGTTTCCTCTGTGCCACATGTCTTAGTGCGAAGCGTATCCAATCAGCAGATCGAGCCTACGAGGCTATGGGTTAGATAACAATAATGGCCTATTGATCGTGCTCAATTCAGATGTTGACGGGTCACGGCGAGAAGGCTGCGCCTTAGACGTACACAAGAAGGAACCGGCACAATCCCGCTCTGGGATCCACCGATACGTCGCTGTGGTACTGCAGATCCGGCAACTGGTGCCCCGAAGCGCGTGCTCTTCCCTCTGGAATTTCGTAAAGAAAGTCAGCACAAGTTCGTGCACACTCGCATCAAATCCTCACGTGCGCTTTCCTATGACAATCTCGGCCTAGTATGGAGGTCAGCTTCCACGTCAGACAGAGTGGTCGTATGAAGCATGCAGACATCTTGAAATCTCGCCTGTATCCGGATGGGTATACCAATAACCGCTGGTCTTGGTTCCACAATCCAAGCATGAGTTTTCCCCAGAATTCTGTTTCTTTAGCTGCGATATAATCCCATGTGTTAGCGTTTCGCCACAGGCAAGACTTACGAAAGAGGACAGCACCCTACGAGATTGATAACATGCACCACCTGTGACAATGGGCGTTAAATCATACTTGTCGTCTCACTGACAGCACGTTCGACGGACACAGTAGTCCTCCGGCACTCTTCCGGTCTTTGTACCAAGTACTGGAACGGAGCTGTCCGCAGTCGTTGCAACTGCCACCAAATGGATGTGCTTTGTGATGACGTTGACGAAGAGGGCCGTCCTGTTGTGCTGGAGTGGGCCTACACGTAAAGCCGCCAAATCAATAAATCTGCACATGGCGAGGTAGATACAATTGAATACTCTGGTCCTGGTGATTGTGAAACCCTACTGTCACTCATGGAGCGGGCTGTACGCCATTGCCATTGACCAAAAGTGATGAAGGCTAATTGCCGTGGAGTAGAAGTTACTCGTGTGTGCGCGTGAAACAAGTTCGCGTGCTGGAGGCGCACGAGAGGCAACATAGTAGGTTCGTTGATAGGAACAATGTGACAGGCTTGCCACGAGGCCCTTCACAGAATCTCAAGAATGGTGATCTAGCAGTTGATCACGTACCCTTCCTGAGACTCAGAAGGGACGCGGGTGAAGCGGGGTGGTGGTTCAAGACGATGTTGAGACTCAACGCGCTGAGGGCCAACGGCATGCACGCGCCGTGACGTGACGTTACGAGTGCCCTGGACCGACCGCGCGATGCACATAGCAGGCTGATTACGAGTCTAATCCCCTGAGCCGACTCATACGTTGCTGGGCTACGTAAAGTCATCGACAACCTCGGATGGTATGGATACTTGGAAGGTACTTCAAAGACGCCAGGCTTGTCCACGACCCTCCCGACATCGAACGCGTGCCCATTACAAGGGTACCCTCATCAAACAACACAACACATGTCATCAAACACACCCCCAATTACACTATGTACGAGTAAGTAAAGCGATATGCACAAGAAACTGAAGCAATCAATCATGAGAGCGTGAAGCGTGAAACAAGGCCGGAGTCAGAGATGGATGAGCACCCTATGAGAGGAAGTAAGCGCAAGCAAGGTCCAGTAAGCATCGCAAGACCAAATCGAAAGGAGGCAGGAGCATTTGAGAGTGAGACGGGTTGTTGTGGACTTGATATGTGGTATGGGCGTGGAGTGAAAGTGGAGACTAATGCGGACGAGTTCATGCGTGAATGTTCATGCGGGGCAAGCAGGCTTATGCAAATGGCACGGTATACGATGAGATATGACAGGAAGCCGAGAACCAGATAGTAGCAAGCAAAATAGATAGACAACCAAGCAAGATAGAAAGAAAGAAAGGAAAAGAATCAAGTAGTACACCAATTTCCGCAACCGCTACCTCCCAATCGGCCTAAGCGTGAAGTTCGCCGAGGACGGCTTCTCCGATAGCACGACGATGTCCTACAGACCGACCCCAAGGTCAGAAACAGACCAAAACACCGAACTCGCACAACGCAGGGCTCAGCGCACCTCGTCCTCGTCCATCCCACCTTCCTCATCGCTCAGATCTAGCATCCCCTGATTGAACCTCTGCCGCCACTTATCGACCTCCGCGCACTTCTCCGCGGCCTTCTGCGACACGGTCTCGTGGTGTGACCCGTTCCTCTCCTTGAGCGGTAGAGCCCATCTCCTAGACGAGACGTCCGTCGGGCGACTGTATAAGAGACCGGCCATAGGCCTCCGTACGCGGACGGGGGATGACTGTGGCGATAGTTGGGGCGACGATCGAGGAACTTGGGAATAGGATGAAGACTGATGCTGAGGTGGGGTCTGATGCTGAGGCTGTGGTGGAGACTGATGCTGAGGACGGGGCGGAGACTGATATTGAGGCTGAAGTTGAGCGCGCGCAACAGAGGTAGACGCCGAAGCCTGAGCGATTGTAGCAGACAAGTTCCTCAACGGCGCCCTAACTCTCTCCATGATCTTTCCCACGGGATCCCTCTCATCTTCACTATCGCTCAGCGTCAAATCAATGACCTGGTCCTCAGGTACCGGCTGCGCCTTCTTCTTCTGCTTGGCGGTATTGCCCGTGTTGCTGGAAGACACCGGCGGGGCAGGAGGCATAGGCTCATCGTCGTCATCCAGCGTGAGATCAATATCCGCAATGACGAAGTTCTTCTTCGGCGCCATCCCAGGCCGTACACCCAGATGTCGTGGGATATTGCGCGGTTTCGCGGGCTCGGGCTGCATTTGGAGTATGGAGGGCGCCGCGAAGCGCGCTGCAGATTGCGGCGAGGAGGGGAAGTCGAACTCGGGTGCAGGCTGGAAGCCGTCGGCGCCGGCGATGGTGGGAAGCGTATTGGTGTGATCGGATACACCATCTTCAGGTGTCGTCGGTCCAGTACTGTCAGCGGGTGTAGTCGTATTACTCCGGTCGACGACCTCCGGTTCAACCTCAGGCGGTACCGACAGCCTCGCACCCCCATCGCCTTCATCATCACTGCTCAGATCGTACCGACTCCGCTCGGGCGCATCGGGCGCAGTAACAGCACGGCGTATGGACGCACGGGTCCTAGCCGGCCGCTCCTCAGCAGGTGTGCGCACCTCGCTCGCCCACTTCCTCCGTGCGAACGCGTCCGGATTCGGACGAAATATGCCGCCCATGAAGCCGCCGAGGCGGGGCTGGCGCCACCCGATGGGCTCGCCTTGCTCGTCCTCCGGTTCTGGCGGTTCATCGTCTACCGGCGACACCTGGTCTTCATCGTCCGCAGCGACTCTCGCCTCCTCGACGTCCGACATGGGACTGAGACTCCGGCGCATAGACGTGGGCGCTACCGACGTCGCGACATCAGAACCACCGCCAAGCAACTCGTCGACAGCCCTCT